TGAATTTGCAGTCTGTACTCCCAAAAGAGCATCATACCTGTTAGGCTGCCTTGGAATATATATAAGGCATCACAGACAGCAGGAGATGTAGGCACCCATCCTTGAAAAAGTCCATGGAGTGCTGAAACCAACCAGCAGGCAAAAACACCCACTCAATGATTCCCAAAACAGGAGTGAGCCATTTACTGCATTGCTCCCCAGGGTCCCATGATTACACATAAGCACTAGGCTGTATCTTAATGATTGCAAAACAAACCCCACAATTATTTTCACCCATGGAATTGGCTTCTAAATTTTAGAAAAGGAAAATTTGAAAATTTATGCACTAGTCATTTTATAATTTTCCCTAGCAAACTCGTAAAATTGTCAAATTATATGTAATTGTGTAGTTGATTTCATTTGCCCAGAATTATTAGGCTCAGCAATCTTGTTTGAGGCAATCAAACCGTCCTTCATCAGCCGACCAACACTATTAGTACTTAATTATGTCATGTATCCACATAAATTTTAAAATGAAAGAAAATTACATAAATGGTGTTTTTTTTTAAAATGTGTCTAATAAGAGGTTTCTTTCCTTATTATTAATCACTAACAAGAGCTTTGTTACCTCAGAATGTTATAAAATATTTCTAGCATGTGGCACTCCGTATCTCCTATGAAACAGTTTACATATGTTTTCATCATTAATATCTGAAAGCAACCATAAAAAAAGCAAAAATTTAAGGTCAAACAAATTAATATTAAAATTTATAATCTGAGTTTCAGGCCAACACTTGACTCACATAAAACTCCTTTTCTGAAAAGAGAAATGGTTCCTTCCAAGAGACTGCCTTTTTTATTTTATTTATTTATTTATTTTTAAAGATTTTTATTGGGGAATTGGGGGATGGGAACAGAGCTGGGGAACTGGGGGAAGGGAAACAGACAAGTTGCTGTCCCTTTTTTGTTCTTCAGCCTAGTTGTGGAGGATGTTGCTTCACTGGTCCAAGTTGGCACCATTATTGCACTCTTCCCAGGCGAGGCAGATCAGTCGCCGGCTTCTGGACGGC